CAGGCTTGGCATTTTTCTTTTTACAGAGCACGTTCATGGGTGCTATTCCTTCATGGTGTGGTTTGAATGGGTTTTTAAAATTAACTTGTTCCTCTCTGCTTTGAGAATACTAAAGTGTCCTATGAAATGCTGACTATTAATTTCATGTGTAAATCTTACTAAAGTGGAAATGAACCAAATTCTCTTTCCATTAGGAAAGAAGTTCGCTAAAGAAGCCTTCGGGCACAAAGTGATGAATGCCTCCAAGTCTCACGAAAGCATTTTCCTCTAACCAAACGACTTACATATTCAGACCTTCCCTGCGGCCTGGTCCTGTAGCCAAATTCTACAGAAATTGCTGAGTTTCAACTCAAATTAGGAAACTGGGTGAAGGAGGAGACTTTTAAATAATAATAATGGCCTGGTTTGTTTGGTGAAGTGCTTTATACTTAAGACAAAAACCCTACCACCAAATATACAAAAATGCACCTCTTTCATAAGTGAATTATTGGTGTTTCTAGACCTGAAATATTATGTATGTTTTATTTACTGATGTTTACATTTTGGGAAGGAAAACATTTTTATTAAAAAATTGAATACTTGTAATTTGTTGTTCCTAAGATTTTTACACCATAACAAAATGTGTCCTTTTCTCATGAATTTATAATTTCAAAATGAAGGCAAGACAGTGTAAAAGTGGGGGAAAGAACAGACTTTATTAATCAAGTGATGTCTTGATTTTTGTGAGAAGATTGTTTTATTTTAACACTAAATATGGAAGCTGTTTCTTAGCAAACTTGTTTGGAAAGATTAATGTGTTGTGTATTAGATCTCCCCATGTTGTGTATGCCACAGATCTGATCTTTGTCTTCTTAAGTTCCTCTACTTCATAGTTGTGGTTATACTTTAAAAAAAAAACACTACATTATCTCATAGCTTTCAAATGTTTAAAATGTGACTTACAGAACACTGCAAATGATTAAAAGCAAAGCAATGTGAAAATCTTACAAGCTAAATGGGTTCTTAATGTCATAAGTGTTTTACTTTGATGATGTGCCTTTGATTTGAGACACTAAAATGGATACTTTATTTGTGTTTGTAATAATTTTGAAGAGCTTGGAAATAAAGTTTCTGTTTAACTCATTATTTTCTATGACAGCAACGTTTGGTGTCTGATTTTGTTTTAAGGTTTCACAGATTTCTGTTTGCTTGTAAGATTGAATGCTGGAAGTGGGAGATACAAAGTTTTGTTTATAAGTACCTGTAGAATTTTATAAATAGTATATGTATAACGTACAGAAATATCTCAATTGCTGGCATTTGCTCTTGAAATATCTATGTGTAAAACCATAAGTAAATAAACGAAAATATTTTTTGAGCGTAAGTATTGTTACAATAGAGAAAAAAGAAGCCATTAGGTGGGTACTTCCTTAAGTTCTGGCCACTAAACTTCCAAATCTAAGCAATTTGAATTCCTTTCATTCGATCATAATTCGGGTGTCCCTTTCTAGCCCTTGTATGTATTCTCTGGATCTGATTCACCTTCTCTGAAATGTCACACTGTCAATTATCCTTTCTCTCCTTCATCTTCAGCTTCTCCATTGGATCTTTTCTATCACCATTTAAACATGTTCCATTCTCCATCTTAACGATAACAAGCATTTTTAAAAACCTTCATTAACAAACAAATTTCAGTTTATAAGACGAGTAAGTCCTAGAGATCTGCTTACAGCCTAGTGCCTATAATTAACAATACTCTACTGTATACTTAAAAATTTGCTAACAATGCAGATTTAATGTTAACTATTCTTATTACAAAAATAAGAGGGCAGGGGGAACCTTTTGGAGGTGGTGGCTAGGTTCATGGCATAGATTGTGATGATGGTTTCACTTATCTCCAAACTCATCAAGTTGTAAACATTAATTATGTACAGGTTTTAATGTGTAAAATAGAAACAACTCACAAGAACTTCTCCTATTCCACTTTTTCCTTCAGCAAAATCTTGGTACTATAGTACAAGAAAACTAGAGACATCTCACAAACACAGATGCAAATGTCCTAAATATAAACAAATCAAATCTAATAATATATCAAGAGGAGATACAATGTAACAAAGCTAGTTCAATATAAGGAAATCTATCAATGAAATTCATTCCATGAATGGTTTAAAGAAGAGAATCTATGCCAACAAGTCATTTGATAACATTCAATGGTTTTCTGAATAAAAACTAAGTGGACTAATGACATAGGAAAGTATATATAGAAAAACAAGCATTTTCTACACTGGCAATAGCTATTTAGAAATGGAAATGGAAAATATATCCCATTTCCACTTTAATGACAAAACGATAAAAAATACTTGAGAATTTAACAAAAGTTGCAAGTTATAAAGAAAAGCTTTTATTGCTGTTTATAGAACAGGGTCTACATAAATTAAAGTTCAATAATATCATTAAATCTCAATTTCATATAAACTTAGTGGCATTCCTATTTTATTTCTCTCGGGGAGAACTGGTTAAAATATCTAAAAGTTCATATGGAAAAATCAAGTGTCCAAGATAGTTTTTAAAACGGGGTGTGTGTGTGTGTGTGTGTGTGTGTGTGTTTATAAAACAAGAAAGGGTGAAACTTGCCTTACTAGTTCTTAAAATTTACTTTGCCTAGCCAGTGTGGCTCAGGGGTTGAGCGTCAACCTATCAACCAGGAGGTCACGGTTCAGTTCCCAGTCGAGGGTACATGCCTAGGATGAAGGCTCAATCCCCAGTAGAGGGCATGAAGGAGGCAGCCAATCAATGATTCTCTCTCATCATTGATGTTTCTATCCCTCTCCCTCTTCCCTTCCTCTCTTTTGAAATCTGCCTGGATAGCTCAGTTGGTTAGAGCATCGTCCTAATAAGCCAGGGTTATGGGTTCTCTACCCAGTCAAGGCACATACAAGTATCAACCAATGAATGTATGAATAAGTGGAACAACAAAGCAATCTCTCTCTCTCTCTCTCTCTCTCTCTCTCTCTCTCTCTCTCTCTCTCAAAAACCAATAAATAAAAATTTTTAATAAAGTAAAAAGTTTTACTTTTAAGTTGCTGAATCAAAATAAAATGATTTTAAAAATGAAAAACACACACAAACTATTATTGTGGTATAGGAATAGGCAAGTAGATGAATGGATTATAATTGTTCAGAAATAAATGACTTTTTTTCCCTATTCAGTGGGAAAGTATGGTTTAATTAGTAAATGGTGCTGCCATTATTGGCTATCCATTTGGAAGAAAATAAAATTGGGTCTGTATTACACTATGTAAAAAAACTCGCATGGGTTAAAGAAATATAATACAAAAGCATTAGAAGAAAAATTAGGATATTAATTATACAGCTTTAGGGTAAAAGCTGTCTTCGTAAGCAAGGCAGGAAACCCAGAAATAAAAAGAGAAAAGACATCTACACTTGCCTATACCAAATTAAATTAAAAAAACTAAATAAATAAGGCATTTCTCGTGAGTGTTAAATTAGTCATTGTTGTATGGTAAACATAATAACAAACCAAATAAAAAAGCAAAAGACAGAAAAACGTATTTTTTTCAGCCTTCATTTTGTATTGCTACAATCTGCATTCCCCATCCCCTTCAACTCAGGCTACTCCATTTGTTGCATCCCTTGTTTTAGGTTGGGGTTCAATATTTGGGGAGAATCCAGGCTCCTACAATGAGAGGCAAGGGGTGGAACACCCTAGTGTTGATCCCAGGGGTATGATGTTTCAGTGGAAAGAGGAGTATCTTATGTCCATCACAATTGCAGAGACAGGTGATATTCTGGTGAGGTCTACAAAGTTTGAACTGGGCCTTGGAACTTGGGAGTGAGGCCTCTCACAAGACGTCAAAAGCCAGCATCACTATCGCCAGCAATGAACCTAAATGCAAGTAACTCCCTCTAACATGAAAAGCTCACAGGAAAATGAAATACTCTCAGAGAAAGAATCGAAATTTCTGAGCCAATCTGGGGAGTTGGGGCTGTTCCAATCAATTCCACGTGATGAGGTGTTTGGGAAAGGACCTTGGAGGCTGAACTCACACTTTTGGCCCCTAACAAGGGTCTATCCAGAATATTTGAATATGCAAACTATGGGGCAGAATGTATATTATGAACATTTAATATAGAAAACCGAGAACATCTAAGAACAATTGCATTTTCTTTAAGTTATGACCAACTCTAAATCATTCTGTGATTGGCCTATCAACAAAAACAATGGGATGTGGCATGTAGCACTATTCTTTCTTTTTCAAAAAAACCTCAGACGAGTTTGTCCATCAGCTCTACCAGGGACTTTTTCATACATTAGACGTCGCTTTTTGAATTGTGGTAGTTGTGAACTCATGAGATCTGTTAAAAGGAGAAAATGAAAACCATTTTAGTGCTGAAAATAATAAAGTGTAGCTATTTTTTTCCAACTATTCAAATGGATCTTGTCTTTTCATCATTTGAAGTTTTAAAATTTTCAAACTGGGATAAAATAATGAGTATTAAAATTAAATTTTTAGCATAAATGCACCTATACCTAATGGCCCAGTACTAATTAGTGTTATAAACACATACTTGTATGGCCATACCTTATACAAATAACTAAATCTCTCCTGATTTAAGACTCTTGCCTTTAAGTTTTCCCTCAGTAAGCCTGTTCTTTAACCCATACATGTAATGTTGTAAAATGTATCCTGAACTAGTATAGATGGTGGTGATGTGTAGACTCATCTTACATGACTATATTCTATATGATATACACTAGCCTGAAATAGCCTGGATTGATTAAATCAGTATAAAAGGAGGCTAAAAATTTAAAACCATTCTAGGATTATTCCTGGAAATATATAATCTCATAATTGAAAAAGTTGGATGCCATTATAAGCAAATTAAAAAAAAAAACAATGTAGTAGATAGTTTTGTCATAGATATCACAAATAATACACTTAAAGGACAAATGGATATTATCTTGAAGTTATGCTAATGGCTTTGAATAAATTTTTTAGGGCTGCATCAATATGAATTCAAAATGTGTTATATCTTAAACATATTTAGAGATAATGATGTGCTAGGGAAAACCACAGTAAAAAGTCAAAAGTTGTCATAGTGATTTGAAGATACTATCATCAAAGATGTATGTGAACTACTTGAATGAAATTACTTTATGAAAATAATTGGAAAGTATTTACATATAATTTTTAAAAATATATATTTATAACTAAATTAATGACTATTCCATCTATATCCTAAAAGCTTAAATATTAAAATTTATTTAAAAATATTTTCTGAAGTCTCATTGAGAAAATGGGAGGATTATTCTATATTGGGGGCCCTATGTTCAAGAACATACAATTATTTGCATGCTTAATTTGTTCCAGGGTGGAAAAAAGATGGAATTTTCATCCAGTTCATTTATGAAGCTGGAATAATCCTCATGTCAAAATGCAACAAAGCACAAATAGCACAATAGATTAATTTCATTATGAATATAGATATGAAAATCATAAATATTAGCAACCATGTTTAGCATATTTTAAAAATCACCCCTCAAAACCAATTCAATTTATTACAGAAATGGCAAAAATGGTTTAACACTATTAAACTTGTCAGTACAATCCTTGACATTAATAAGTCAGTGGAGAAAACATGCTTGATTTATCCCAATAGGTGCCAAAAAAAGTTTATAAAATTCAGCATCTGTTTCTCACAATAGTTCTTACAAAACTAGGGATAAAATACTTAGTAAAATCAAGAACAAAGAAATTATGACCATTAAAGGGGATCAAATCCAAGTTTTGTGAGTCCTGGAGGTTCTCTTTTAATAAAAGAAAGAATATAAGATTTTCAGGACCCCTCTCAGGTTTCACAAAAGGGCCTATACAAAAGAGGAGCTTTGAAGCTTAAGTTTCTCCCTTTTTTCCTCCCATCATGGCAAGGTCACCTTGTATGACCATTAGAACTTAACATTTTGTTCTAGATGTTCAGGAGGTAGCAATAAGAAATGACACAAAAGAAAGGTATAATTACCATAAATGAGTAAATAAAATTGTCCTTTAAAATTCTGATATGATTAAATGTTCAGAAACATGAATTGCATAATAGAGCTAATAGTAAGTATCTATTTAACAGGATTGTCAGAATTAAATAATCCGCATAAGAGGCCTAAAATGGCACGTGGCATATAATAAGCTCTTGTGGGTGGGTGGGAAGTAATCAACCAAAAAACGTGTGTGTGTGTGTGTGTGTGTATACACACACACACACATACCAACCATGGTATATATATATCTATATCTATCTATCTCTCTCTCTATCTATCTATCTATCTCTCTCTCTATCTATCTATCTATCTCTCTCTCTATCTATCTATCTATCTCTCTCTCTATCTATCTATCTATCTCTCTCTCTATCTATCTATATACACATACACACACACATACCATGGACACAGACAATAGGCTGGTGAAGGCCTGGTGCAGGGGTGGGGGCAGGCTAGAAGGGGTAAATAGGGGGAAAAGGGGGATATATGTAATACTTTCAACAGTGAAGATTTTGTAAAATAGCAGCTCTTAATAAATTTTAGCCCATTAAATATCCCTGCCTGACAAATTTTCTAATTCACTGATTTCTCTGTTTAATCTTTGTTGATTTTAATCTTCTGATTTTTAGATTTGTTCTGTGTTTTTCATTTCTGAAGTTGAATGCTTAGTTCATCTAAAGGTACAAGAATTTGGTATATTTTCTTTGCATTTATTTTCTTAGCTATCTCTAATTAGAATTCTGATTTTTCCTTTGAACCAAAAGTTATTGAGGACTCTTTAAGTGTAGTCATTAAAACAAAAACATTTTTTTAAAATTTTGAGATGGTTATATCACCTGAATTGCCATTTGAGAATAGTGTCTTAACTATTGAATAGCATTACCTGTTAATGATTTCCTGTCTCCTGAGTTAGATGAAGGTTCAGCATGCCTTTTCTGTCCTAAACATGCTCTACCTCTTTGGTAGAAATAAAGACTGTTGAATTCTTTTTGATTTATATTAGAATCAGAAGCACAAAACAAATCCAAACTGGGGACAGATGGTAATTCTTTCCAGAAAGTCTCTTTAGTCCCAGCACTTGAACTTCTGTATAGGAGGCCTTCTAACTCATCTGATAGACATTTTTGCTGGTTAGTGAATAAATTATCTTTCCGAGAGTACCATTTGTCACACACAGTCTCCTCTGAACCATACTGTAGGTTGAATGAGTGATTCTGTTGTTCCCATACATTTTCCTTAAAGCTCCAATGAGGAGGTGATTGAGAGCCTTCTAATGAAAAGACAGGGGCAAATTCTTCTTTATTTATAGGTCTTTTTGCTTCATGTGTTCCCTTTTTCTGATAACTTATAAAATTAAGGGAAACTCTCTTCTGAGTGTTGATTGGTGATATTCTGCTTTCACAATTCATTTGTGTTAGATCTAAAGAAAAGACATCTGTCTGTGAATCATTCTGGTTTAGAAAGGAGTTACCAGCTGAGTTCCTTGATTCCATATCAACCAGAAAAGAATTTTTCTCTATGTAAGGGTTACAACTGGAGTCTTTCCAATAGCTGGTCTGACTGTAAGAAGTCACAGATGGTAAAACACACGGCATTTCTCTTTCTCTTAGTTCCATCAGAGAAAGGTTATAGTTTGAAGTGCTGTTTGTTTCTTCCTGGACTGTCTCTCCTAAGTGTAAATTCTGGTAATATTCATGTTCTTGAATGGCAGAGTCTAAAGAGTCAGTAGCTGAACTCTGAGAAGGGAAGGTACTGGTTTGATTCCTATTTTCCCGAGGTGATGACATTTGAGGTGATTTTGTTACGGGAGAAGAACTAATCTTGAATAAGGAAGTGATGTCACAAAAATGCTAAAAATAGTTAAAAATTAATTAATACAATACAAATACAATATGAACATCAGTCAAATAAATATAAATAATAATGCTTATCTATATGAAAAGGAGGCTAAATATAAATAAGTAGTTTATTATAGGTATTATATTGACCCATGTAATATTAACATAATTAGGCTCTGTTAAAAGAAAAACATTGTAATTTGCATCTATTTTCTAATCAGTTATAAAATAATTTTTAGTTACACAAGTTACACATGAATACCATTTCCTTGATAAAAATTTAACATTTTACGAATGAGGCTAAAGTTCTCTTTACTATAATGAAGGGTGTCAGGATTGTTTGGAAGAGATTATGTAAATCCATTTGAATAGAGTGTATAATTAAATATTTGGGGGCACAATAACATTTCACAATGATTTAGATTGTGATAAACTGACTGTACTGAATTCTGTGTATAAGGTAACTTTAAAACGTATAATGCAATTGACAGCCTATGAGAATTCTATGTAAAATTTAGCTCAAGGAAATTATTTGTTTGCTACGTGAAGTCCAAAACAATTACACTTGGATACCTTCATTTTGAATACACTTATTGTAAAAATACATACTCAGATGGAAAGGAAATAAACCTTTATAAGAATATAGATCTCAAATAACTAACCTTTAACACTTTTTCTGGAACTTCAGGTAGGAGTTCCTGAAGTTGACAAAGAGTTGCTAATAATATCCAGTGGAGTGAAGGTCCTTTACGTAACATGAGCTGAGCCACCAATGGGTTAATACATGGGAAATCAAGTAAGTACATTTCTTCCTAGAAAAGAGTTTAAGGAATAATCAGCCATTGGTCTTTTAAAAGTGACCCATTTTATTCTACTCATTCTATTGGATTAAAACTTTTGTCATTGCACCTACATTCAATTTGAGATGCCTGGAAAAAAAGTATGGCTAGGAGGGAAAGAAACTTTCATACACTCTCAGTCTAATCACGCATTCAAAAAGATGTGTTACAGTTCACCTTCTTCACATGACAATTGTTTTAACCAATGCTACATTTTCTAAAGAGAAATCTTTTACAGGACTTAGTATAGGACCTCAAGATTTCTTTATCTCTCCCTTTGTATACCATATACTATCACTGTTTGATTAAGATGAACCATGTTTCTGATACTTAAGAGATATTATAATTTCAGGAAAGCCTTGTTGTAAAGACTATATAGGGAGAACTTCTATCGACCATAACTGACCTTGACAGTCTAAAAATGTATGTTTTCAGGTCTAGAAATATAGCAGCCATCTTTATATTCCATTTTTTCCTGAATTGCACTGGCTTTTTGTACCCTCTCTGATTTTTATCAAATGACAGACATGTGAGCAGATTTGACATATCTTGGTAGGACACACATACACATGTCATATAATTATACCCATACTTGCTGATTGTATTGTGTTCTATTTAAGCATGTAAAAGTTCTGTGATTTAATAGATATGAACATTTTATTTTATTAGTTTATTTTATAATTTTAGTTTTTGAGTAAGTAAAAATCACATGGTTCAAAACTTTAAAAGTACTGAAAGGTGAAAAATCTCATTCCCACCCATTACTCAAGTTCTCTTTGGAGATAACCATTGTTATCATTTCTTGGTATCCTTCCAGAAGTATTTTATTAATTTATAAATAAACACATAAATATTAATTTCCCCTTGTTTTTCACAAATGGTAGTACAGTGCATGCTTTGTCCTGCAACTTCGATGTTTCACTTAACAATCTATCTTGGAGATTACTCCATATTAGTACATAAAGAGCCTTGTCATTCTTTTTTTAATGGCTTCATGATTTGGATATATGTATATATAAAGGTAACAGAAACACTGAGTTGGTATGAGGTCTTGGAAATATTTATGCTCAAAGCAAAGGAATTTCTAAAAATTAACTATTTAGCCGAAACCGGTTTGGCTCGGTGGATAGAGCGTCGGCCTGTGGACTGAAGGGTCCCAGGTTCGATTCCGGTGAAGGGCATGTACCTTGGTTGCAGGCACATCCCCAGTGGTGGGTGTGTGGGAGGCAACTGGTCGATGTTTCTCTCTCATCGATGTTTCTAGCTCTCTATCTCTCTCCCTTCCTCTCTGTGAAAAATCAATAAAAATATATTTTTAAAAAATTAACTATTTAATCTTATAAGTACTTTAAAATTCTACTTTGAGTTTCAATAATATAATGGAATTACTGACAAATCATGAAATGATAAAATTTTGCTATTCTTTTAATAAATTTACTTTTCTTAAATGTTTAAACTTAGGAATTAGAAAAATAGTTATGTTTTAAAATATATTAGGCATTAAAGTCATTACATCACCCTATAATAACTTAGATTTGAAAGTTCATTATAAAAGATCCCATTAAAATAGTTCTGTGAAATTAACAAATACAAATATTTCTAGAAAATGGTCTGAGTAAATGTAGTACATGATGGTTTTGTCATATATGCTCATGTACGCACTGGAGAACAAAATATACTACCAGAAAGAGAATTCAAATACAGGTATTCGTATTTGCTTTGAAAATATCCAACTTATTTATTTAGGAAATAAACCTTAGATGGTGAAACTTCAAGCCAGGATTTATCCAACCATTCATGAGGATCTCTCTTTGAAGTCATTAAATTGTGGTCAGCAATTTGTCGGATTATCAATGCAGTCTCTTCCACCCCTGGAGCAATTATTAGCTGAAAAATATATTTTAATGTCAGACTATAGAAAATATTTGGAAGTAAATTATATCATTCAAAAATTGTTTATAATTAGAAGAAAAAACCCAGCAGAGTCTAATCTTTGACCACTATTTTAGATATAATTTATTAATCTGTCTATGTGAAACCCAGGACATTTTTTTTGTGTGAGGATAAGCAATTTTCTTTCCTTCTTTAAGAATGATATCCTTGTAGTTTCCAATTTTTGGAACTAAATTGTTTTTCCTCACTTCCATTGACATTTATCAATAACATCACTTAAATCTATTTGGTATTATATTTCATCTGTATTAGAAGAAAAAGCAATTTGGCTATCACTAGTAATGTTTAATACAGTGGGGCCTTGACTTATGAGTTTAATTCATTCCATGACCGAGCTCGTTACTCAAATTACTCGTATGTCAAATCAATTTTCACCATTACAAGGAATTGAATGCTGGGCTGATGTGTGGCGTTCACTGTGACGTTCGCTGCGCCAACTAGCGGTGGGGTATCTGAAGCTGGCTCGTAACCCGAATTTTAGCTCGCAACTCAAAGCAAAAAATCGGCCGAGAGACGGCTTGTATCTCGAAAAACTCGTTAGTCGGGACACTCGTAAGTCAAGGCCCCAATGTATTTTGCTTTTTCTAGGTTAACCTAAAAGTTCTTAACTAAAATAAGAACTTTAAAAAGACAGTGTTGCCGAAACCGGTTTGGCTCAGTGGATAGAGCGTTGGCCTGCGGACTCAGGGATCCCGGGTTCGATTCCGGTGAAGGGCATGTGCCTGGATTGCCGGCACGTCCCCGGTGGGGAGTGTGCAGGAGGCAGCTGATTGATGTTTCTCTCTCATCGATGTTTCTAGCTCTCTGTCTCTCTCCTTTCCTCTCTGTAGAAAATCAATAAAATATATTTAAAAAAAAGACAGTGTAAGATTTCTTAAAAACAAAGTTAAAAATAAAGGATATTTGCAGATGAATTTGAAGCTTTATTTAAAAAAAAAATAAGCCTGGCCGGCATGGCTCAGTAGTTGAGCATCAACCTATGAACCAGGCGGTCATTGTGATCAATGATGCTCTCTCATTATTGAAGTTTCTCTCTCTCCCTCTCTGAAATCAATTTCTAAAAAAGGTTTTAATTTGGAGTAGCCTTCCCTAGCATTTTTGGCTTATTTAATACTAAGATAATGCTGCCAAAAATGTGTGTGTGTATTAAACTAAACTCTAAGAAAGAATTTCTTCATTCCCCCTGCTTCCTGTCACTTGTGTTTCCCTCCATGCCTTTCTTTCTTCTGAAATGCCAGTCTTTCTCTTCCTCTTTCATTTCTATTTTTATCTTCTTTTAGGTTTGGTTAAAGGAAAGATAGTTCATGGGGTAGCAGTCTAATGTGGACAGAGAAATAACTAGCCTAAACAATCGTGTCTTAGAAATATAAATACGCTGTCCTGTAGTAGAAATTTAAAAAGCAAGGACTGTATCAATCTCAAAAAATAATTATGACAATTTTTTATTTCACAAGAATTTTAAATATAAAACTGTTGGTACATATCTGGGAAATATAAGTACTCTAAAGACAGATTTTCTCTAAATTATATTAAATATGTATAGAGTGCACAGAAGTACACTGTTTGAGTACAATTTTATTTTATTGTTAAGTTTTAGATGCTTTGAGAATATTTGATAATAGAAGAGCGCTGAGCCCCAGATTTGGAGGAATGTCTAAATTTCAGAGCAATGACATTGAAAAAAGAGCTAAGAAAGAAGACTAATTAGAGGTTACCAAAATATATGTCCTAAGATTTCCATTTTACAACAGATAAGAACTTAGTATATCTTTCATAAGTGAGCATTTTTTAAAAAATATATTTTTATTGATTTTTTACAGAGAGGAAGGGAGAGGGATAGAGAGTTAGAAACATCGATGAGAGAGAAACATCAATCAGCTGCCTCCTGCACACCCCCCACTGGGTATGTGCCCGCAACCAAGGTACATGCCCTTGACTGGAATCTAACCTGGGACCTTTCAGTCCTCAGGCTGATGCTCTATCCACTGAGCCAAACCGGTCAGGGCAAGTGAGCATTTTTGATCAAGGGATATGTTTATTTTTATTCATATCCTGCTATGTTTCAAATAAATATAGGTAGTAATTAAGAGATAAAATATTATTTTATATTTATTAAACTAAAGACTTTTAGGACAGAAGTTTATGTGGAAAGAATATTAATTTAAAAACTGTTCTTTGACTTTTAGGCAGTTTTGACTTACCTATTTAATGTTTCTTCTCACTGGGTATATGAGTTTGAGTATAATTTTGGTTTATGAAAAATACTTATTAACAAACATATAGGAAAAAAATACCTTTACATCCAGCTCTTCTGATTTTAGTCCAAATGAAACTAAAGCTGCGTAAATCAGTGCTAGGTGATGAAGTGTCTTTTCTGTAAGATAATACCTAAAAAGAATTATATTACTATACTTCCACTCACTTGACATCTGATTATACTTATTAAAAATTCATTTTGTTTTCCATATTTCATGTTATTAACCCTTTGTACGCCATAAGTGTCTGTAGATGCTTCAAAAATAATTTTTCTGAGAATTTTCAACTGAAAATATTCAAGAACACCTGAATTGTGAATAATATATTTATCTTTATAATATTCATTGCAAATTGATTTTTTAAATTAAATTCAAAATATCATGGCGTGTGGGGATGGTTTCCAGTTTGGATGCCTGGCAGTTAACTGGTTAAAATAACCTGGCTAACACAATACTAGTATGGCAGACTCATGGGTATTTGTCTACTCAGTATTTTTCTGAAAAAAATTTTTTTTTCCCACCTCCATTTTTAAAAAATATTGTTAAATCTAGGAGATGCTAGGGTGTGGGGAGGAAGGTGAGAAATTTAACTTATCCCCTTACTGGTCAGTGTCTTGGCATGGATTTTTTTTTTATATATAATTCTTCATTAATGAAAAAAGTATAGCAAGATGCTCATTAGTTGGTATTTTTAATAAGGTTTTAGAAGTGATTTAAGAATGACTTATCTTTTAACAGACAAGGATAAGAATTTTAAAGTAATAAGAAGTGAAATACTTAAAGCAGCAATTCTTAGGGAGGTAGAGGAGGAGAGGATGATTTGTACAGCATGTCCAGGGGAAACATATCTCCAAAATCTCGATTTGTTTGCCTATGGGCATGCCTCCACCTTGAGAATCCCTGACTTAAAGCAAACTAGATAAGCAAGCAGAAAATTAGCATAGCTACTTCTATTCACAGAAGAGGACTGAATAAAACTTAAAAAATATGAATGTGACTTTAGATGAAGAAATGTTTACTTACTCTGAGTTTGTTTTTTTGGCATATAAAATTATCCAACAATAGCTGTACTGGAATGATAATGCCATCAGTCTCATAATGATGTTGTCTGATGCCTTCTCACAATTCAATTCTTCTAGATCCTACCAGTAATAAATAAATAAAAAAGATTCGCTAGGTTAATAGTTGTTATGAAATTATTCGTACCATATTTCAAAATCTATATTATATAGATTATAGCTTGAGGAGAAGCATGGGCCTGGGCTTCTATTTTATGAGAAAAATAAAATCACACCAGAAGTATTGGGGGAAAAGCTACAGTAGATATAAAACAACTAGTGAATTTCAACAAGAAAGGATCATGAATCTCCCAAAGTCCTAGATATGAAGAAAGCAGCCTACAGTGTCCCAATTTGGGTCAAGTCCTTTGTAGATAGGGGTCTGGCTACTAAAGGCTACAGAAACTATGTTTAAAATAGATAATTTGCTTCCAATGCTTCCTTAAGGAAAATGAGAAAGCAGCAGTTAATGTGCTTCTAGGAATCTCTATGTAATGGTCTGGAATTCTCTTTTTCCTTTAACACAATCTTTGATCAAGCAAATAATTCAGAAAGTGGCTTACTCTAATAGTAACTTATGTAAGTGATTAAAACAGTTTTCCTAAACAATATTTTCCCCAAATAACTGCTTTTTAAAAGAATCTTAAATATACGGGACACAATATCTCTTAAGAATCCCTCTGCCTGGCCAGCATGGCTCAATAGTTGAGTGTTGACCTATGAATTAAGGGGTCATTATTCCATTCCCCGACAGGGCATATACCCCGGTTGTGGGCTGGTCCCCGATGTGGGGCGTGCAGGAGGCAGCTGATCAATGTTTCTCTCTCATCATTGATATTTCTATCTCTCTCTCCCTCTCCCTCCCTCTCTGAAATATATAAAAATATATTAAACAAACAAACAAAAACAAATCCTTAAAAAAACAACAAACCCTCTAACAGAGCTTTGTGTTTTCATCATATAATTATTATATTGTTAACATTTGCTCATAATATTTCTCATTAATTTCTATTCCATACCGTCAAACTGGCTTCTTCAATTAAGCAAACATCAAGGAGATTCAGACAAGAATTTTTATATCTTAAATTATAAACTATGTGGATTTTTTAAGAGACACTCTCTCGTTAAAAACCAGCTATTTATTGGCAATTCCAACTTACCTCACAGGAAATGCCATGTTTCCGGTCATGGACTAATATACTGCCTCCTTTTAAGAAACATAGTGGCTAGGATTTAGTTTTTAAAGTCTTCAACATATACTTATTATATAAATACATTTAAAAATAGGACAATATACAATACTAAAGATTCTATTTTTGCTTTGTCTTAAAGTATGTTAAAAATTATAAGCATCAGAGAAGCTTGGTAATGGCCATTTTTCACAGTCATGATTTTGGCACTGGTGACCCACTTGCAAAGTTTTGGAAGAAATCACTAACAGATCGTGTTAAGCTCCTTATAGTAAAGCTAATAACAAAATTACACAGTTATATATCTTTTTAATTTATTTGATTTATTTTTGATTGTATAGTTTTACCTGCAAAATTATGGCAGTGTGTTCATCAACTGTCACTACTACATAATACTCCGTACTTCCAAAGAATTTCATCGACTCACTGCAGCATCTCTCCACTAATGTGATATTATAGCTGTAAAATACAATATTTGGGGGTGACATAATGAAATGGCTAAGAAAATTCTTAAGAAAAACTATTGTCCTCCTGCATATAAAATTATTTGAACTACTGTGCTTTTTCTCTTATACATCAATTTATTCAATTTTATCAATTTGAGATATGAAATTGTGGTTTATTCAGTATATATGACAAATTCATTGACTATGTGTTGCCGTAGGTACTTTGCTAAGTATTACTGAACACAATACTATTACAAATATATTGGCCAATTTATTCTGCTCTTTAAATAATAATTAATGAAACCAAAACATCATGCTATGAGACTAAACATTCTGCATTTATCAGAATTTTCTTTTCTTTCTCCTTAAAACTGACTTAGATTTTAGCTACCTTTTTTAAAAATTACCTTTTATTAGCTCAGAAGTTTCTGTGAATGCCCCACAGCCTTGAGATATAAAAATAAAAGCACAGAAAGTAAATCTGCATTTTAACTAAGGTCACAGCATAGTCATCTTTCCTTCAGATAAAGCCCAATGTCTAACATCACTATGACAACTGTGTGTCTTGATAAAGTGTTTTATGTGATTTTAAAATTCTCAGTGTAAAAATGTGAAAATTCATTTAGACCTTCATAGTCCTGTTTCCCAGGCAGTATTTAAAGTCCTCTAAATAAGAATAGTCATTCTTTTATTTTTTTTAGAATAGTCATTCTCAATATTATCAATGACCCAAAGTTATGAATATATAAGTCTGTGAATTATAGGTTTTTATTTGCTGGAACCAAAAGAAATACAATTAAGATATAAATTTAAATAATAATGAGATATTTTTCTTCACAAAATTGATATGTTACTGAAAAATAATATTTAATAATTATTATGGTGTACTAGAGGAAGAGAAATGTACACTGACATAAGCTTTCTGGAAAACTATTCCTGTGTGATATAATACCAGGCTTGAATCTGAAAATAGTACCATATAATCCTATATAATAAAAGTCTAATATGCAAATCGACCAAATGGCGGAACTAGTGGTCGCTATGATGCACACTGACCACCAGGAGGCAGATGCTCAATGCAGGAGCTTCCCCCTGGTGGTCAGTGTGCTCCCACAGTGGGAGCGCCGCTCAGCCAGAAGCCGAGCTCACAGCTGGTGAGCACAGCAGCAGTGGTGGGAGCCTCTCCTGCCTTCATAGCAGCACTAAGGATGTCCGACTGCCAGCTTAAGCCCGCTCCCCGAAGTCAGTCGGACATCCCCTGAGGGCTCCCAGACTGTGAGAGGGAACAGGCCTGGCACAAATTTCACGCACTGGGCCTCTAGTATAGAATAATATTTAGCCATTATATATATATATATACTTTGTTAAAGTTATGAAATCTATAACTTACTTGGATTCTAACAACTGAAGTATTTCTGGAGTATTAAGAAGTCCTTCAGATGCAAACAACACATATGGAACCTGGATTTCCAAAAGAAAACCACCAAAACTATCCAGCAAGTTGTTTCCTAAATAACAGAAAATTTATAAATATTTCTCTTTTTTCTCATCCCTCAGCTCTCTCTAATTTTTTACTAAACATGTTCAAAGTGTATGTTCAAGGAGTCGTATAAAAATAAAAACATATTCACTGTAAAACATCAGAAGTCAGAATAAAGAAAGTTCTGAAGAATAAAATAAAAACCATGTTATCCTATTACTTAGAAAGAAAAGGTAACAGATCTTACTAAAACTACTATATACTAAAACAAAGTTTAGTACATACTTCCAGACTTTCTCCTATATATTTGCTTATCACATGTACACTCACTTAAAAAGAAAAAAGGAAAAGAAAAAAATACGATTATAATCTAACAGAATATTAAAATCTGCTTTATTCACTTAAGTATATTTTGGACATTTACTGTGTAAATATGCTGATCAAAATTTAAAATTATGTACTATAACCTACAGGAAATGATACAGATCAATAGGAAAAGAATAAATGCCTCGATAGATAAATGGACAAAGGACATAAACAGGCAACTTACAAAAGAATGGCTATACAAGATCAATTCACATCTGAAAATATATGAATAGTCAAAGATATGCAAATTAACACAACTATAAAATATTTTCTGCCTTTAATTATGTCAAATTTAAAAGATTAATAATGCCGACTTATTGTAAAGATATGGGAAAAGTATCCTCTCACACTTACTGCACAAATATAAATTGGAATAGCATTTCTGGAAGGATATTTGGCAATATATAAATGTGTGTATACATTTGACCCAGCAATTAATTTTACCTCTTGGAATTCGAATTTCTTAGAACAAGTATATCAAGATATATAAGATATAAAACTACTTTATCTTACAGTATAATAATGAATTGAAGCATTGTAAATGCCCAAAGAACTGATTGAATAAATTAAATTCATCTTTGAGAAAATGAAAGAAGCTTCTAAATATAAACAAGCATACTTATCTTTTATCTTTTCTTGGGCCCATTCTTTAATTGGTTTATCAACATTTAATTCTAAATATCAAAGATTCTAAATAAGAATTATGGTGTACTTTAGAATTGAGTTGGAATGACTCAGAATTCAAACTTCCCACTCATACTTCAGTTGGATAGAAAGTAACTTATGGCAAATACTGAAAGAGAGATGCACTGGGAGTAAAACTCCATGGGCTTTTTCAATGAAATGGTCTGAGAATTCACACCTTAATCATGTGAAGTGAGAAATGCAAAGAAACCAAAGTGGCTTTGGATTATTTTCTAAGTATTTGTGCATAATTTTTTTTGTGTATTAAAAGTTTTCTGAATCAGTCAACATACTAATTATCCAACATAATTTTTCCCTTAAATTCAATAAAATACTATTGAATAAAAGTATCAGATTGATATCATATATAATTATAATAAAATTATGCTATATAAGTAAAATTTAGAAGTTAAAGGGATGAAGATAAACATGATCAGTAAAGTTTGCTTTTCAGATGAGGAATATGAGTATGAGATAGTTAAAGAACGTGCTCAAGGTTACAAGGATAGTGGTACGATTAGAGCTTAAACTCAAGTCTTCTCATGCCATAGTTTATTCTCTTTTCACAGTTAAGAAACAGAGAACAGAAATTTCATTCTAATGAAATAAAAAAAAATAGTTTATATTCTTACTCTTTAAAACTGTGTCTGGAAGCATCACTTTAAAGGCCATGTATGGAATATTTAATTGTTCACAGTGTTTAGTCCAACAAGAGTTTTCTACGTAATTGTATTCCACCACAAATGAGAAATTACTCCAGGGGAAATCTGCTCCAATATATTGATTAGGTACCACTACACAGGAACTTGTACTGAAGACAAAAGAAAGCCAAGAAAATGTAACTATACTTGTGCAATTATTTACTTCGAATGCTAAAAGGTAATTCTTTTTGGCTTATGTTACTCTTCTCTAATCTATGCCTATTTATCTTGGAAAAGCACTGGTGTACTTTCTGTTTATTTGTTCTCCAATTGTTGCTAATCTATTTTTATCTTTTTTGATGGTCATAGTTTTTTTTTTTTAATTCAAATATAAAAAACTGTAGACTAGCCCAGCTGGCATGGCTCCAGTGGTTGAGTGCCGACCTATGAACCAGGAGGTCATGGTTCAATTTCTGGTCAGGCACCATGCCTGGGTTGGAGGCTCGATCCCCCGTGTGGGATGTGCAGGAAGCAGCCAATCAGTGATTCTCTCGTTATTGATGTTTCTACCTCTCTCTCCCTCTCCCTTCCCCTCTGAAATCAATAAAAATACACACACAGACACACACACACACACACATACACACACACAAACTGTAGACTATTTCACATCCTCAAATGCAAGGGACCTTCATTTTATTACCTGAGTCTTATCCATAACAGACAAGCCATCATGAGAAATCAATCTCATTTTCCTACAAATGTGAGGTTTTAATCTTTGAGAATCTATATAACAGAGTATTACCTGACAACTATGAAGTGCAGTTATTTTTTTTCCTCAATGGGCTTCATAAGTGATTTAACAACAACAAAAAAGGTGAAAACTTAAATATTATAAAGTTATCTTTCCCATCTTCAAATGCCATATGACAGCACTTACTGTAATTAAAATTCTCTACCACTGCTTTCTACCCAGAACAATGTAGACAGAAGTTAAAAGGTATTTATGTCTAGCTTTTATGGGTTTCTATTTGATTTACATTTTCTCTTTTTATTATTTAGATCCAATATTAGGAATAAATAATTTCTATACAAAATAAGGCAAAATAAAAACATTTTTAGTCAAGTCGACACTAATTTTATCATTAGCAGAACCTCACTGAGAGAATTTATAAAAATGTACTCTAGGAAGAAGGAGAACCCAAACAAAGGAAGGAAATATAAAAAAATAACAATGCTAAACAAAAAACTGGTAAGTCTAAATAGGCACTTTCTGTACTGACAATAACAATAATAATGATAATTTGGGGATATTAAAGCAAGACTGAACTAAATTTCTGGACAACAAAATATTTAACACAAGGCAATAAACTGAATTAAAGTGTTCTCTGTGAAGCTTTTTTCAGATACAGGGTAGAGACATTAACTTTATTAGACCTTTTTTTAAAAGTTAAATTCTAGGAGAAATTGTGCTTTTCCTCTGGAATTTGAATGTTTGCTCCCCATAGATGAAGAAATACATTTTTACCTATTTAAAACACCTTCAGATTCCAGAAAATCTTTTCTTTTGTTTGAATGTAAGACAGTCAATGTTAAACCTGTTGGAAAAAAAGAGGAATGAAAGAAAGATTTTCTCAGTGTTTTGTTCATGTGTATTTTTAAAGTGTGTCATGTATTCACTATCACAAAAATGAATGAAACATCTGTGAACAAGGAAACTGCTTAAAATACAATTTGGGAGATTATTTTCTAAATCTAGGGTACCAGAAAGTTTAAACCATGGGCAGTATTTCTGTGTGAATGTCGTGTGTATAAGCATGGAAATTCTGAGTTTACTTTGTAAAATAATAAAGTGGATCAAAAACTTAATTTTAAAATAACTAAATTAAACTTGCCAATTCTGTGCAGTTAACTTTATTTAACTAAAAATTATGGTAGATTTTACCTTTTTTTTCCTCTGGTAAAATTTAAAGTATGTAACTAAACATCAGGAGACTGCATTTCAATTTGATGTTACTTTTTAACAAAAATATAATAAACTCCATTAAATTCTGTATCCACACATACAGTTTATTTTTTACAGACATATTTAAGAATAGCTAATTCTAGTTAAAGTAAATTCTACACTCTATTAGTGTACTCTGTCAATTGTAAAGTTTACAGTGGTATGATGTAATAATGACAAAGTAGTGCTTAATAATATCACATTTACTTGAATTGACATGACAATAGTTTTGGCAGCAAGAAGAAAGGAGGGAGTATGATTTTTTCTTTTATAATTTATAAGGTCATATAATTTAAAAGTTAATCTCCTTAAGTGATTTGTGTTAGCTATGAATCCAAAGCAGATTACTTGCTGAGTGCATTACTAGGATCTTACAAACACATAGAAAGATGGAACTACATTTTTACTTTCTAACACTCAATACAAAAAAGGGCCTCGCTCCTAGATATAGAGAATAGTTACCAGTTAGAGAGTAAAAACATTTGTCAGTGTATAAAGTCAATATTTTTGTGTCAGCAGACCTTGTTGAAATAACATCCTGAGTAGTGATGATATAATTCCAAATACCAAAAGAAATAGGGATGTTCAGTGTGAAGCCTAGATAAGAGATATATGCACAGTAATAATTTGTCAATATATCTTAAGTGACATCAAAGAAAAGGTGCCCCATTAAGCAGGTTTAAGTATTCTTTGTGGAGCAGAAATATTTTCTCAACTTCTTAAAAAAAATATTCCTTTGGTTACTCAGATCCCCTTTTCTTTTCTTTATTGATTAAGGTATTACATATGTGTCCTTATTCCCCCCATTGCCCCCCTCACCCGACCCCACTCCTGTTCATGCTCTCACCCTCCTGGTGTCTGCATCCATTGGTTATGCTTATATGCATGCATACAAGTCCTTTGGTTGATCTCTCCCCCTTACCCCCCCACTCCCCTACCAGATCCCTTTGTTGTTAATGTTAACATTGCTCAGCATTTTCCTAATTAAAATATTTTTTCCCAATTACTGTACCCAGATTCCAGACAACTGTGGCAGGTTCAGCTCCCCTGTTAACTATTGCTCTCACTTTTTGGTACTAGTAAGGATCTTGTGAATTGGTGAATATGAACTCATCTCCCCAGGACTGGAAAACTGAATGAAATAATAAGACATTACAGAGAGAGGGAGAGAGGGAGAGAGGGAGAAAGGGAGAGAGGGAGAGAAGGAGAGAGGGGGAGAGAGAGAGAGAGGAGAGAGAGAATCAGATTCTAAATGAGAAGAATACAGGGAAACTGTGTCATCTGGGGAAAATTAGGTTTTACTTAAGACAAAGGAGGTGAAGAAGAGTTTACATATAAGCAGTAGGTTCCACAGCACAAGGTGGAAATGGCTGGCAGAGGCTGCAGTGGGTAGAAAAATGAACTGAAGAATAACAGTGGAACAAGAGAGACCGAGGTTCAAATTCTGATTCCCACACTTACTGCCTGTGAGATTTGGCTTGCTACGTTACCTTTATGAAGTTTAGTTTCTTTATTTGTAAAATTGAGTTAGTAAAACCTATTTATAGAGTTGTAAGTAGTCACTATTATTTAGCAACTAGTAGACATTCAATAAAAGGTATCAACTGATAATAATAACAACAACATATGTGTAAATACATTGAATGTTCACATAAGTACATTATAGAATATTTATATTTTGCAGGTTTATAGTCCAGATTGATTTAAAAACTGGTTAGATATCACTGAGTTATTTAATTTTAAACAATAAATTTTATGGTATGTTAATTATATCTTAATTTTAAAACTTGGTTAGATCAATACATTTTTATGTTCAAGCATATGTTAGCAAATGAAGCATAATTTAAAACTGCATACCTTCCATTTTGTTAAGGATTTCAATGAGTAGATGTTTTTCATCATCTGAGTCCATTCTTATTATAATCAGCACCTGGCCAAAAATAAGAATTTCTCATAAATGTATATCTGATTGCTTATTCTTTTTCATAGTTTTGCTACAGTGACAAAATAACAAACTTAATTGGTTATGAAACGAATGGCTATACGATTACCAAGTAAATATTCATTTTGTAAAAGATATGTTTAAATACAAAGTAAGGTCAAATATTAATGAGGAAAATATTTTGCAGTAGGACATTCTTGGCTTAGGGGTGGAGTGGGGACAACAAATCAGTTTCAATTTTAAATTTCTTACTGATTATTTTATTTTAATGACTTAAGCAAGTTGCCAAGTAACCACAAAGTTGGAGGTAAAAATATAGGAGGGACAGAGAGGAAAAAGAAGAAAAAGGCCAAATTTGTAACCAGATTCAATGTAAAACATTTGAAATGCTTTTCTGCTTGTAAATATTTTTAAAAGTATTTTCTCTTAAATATTTATTAATGTAACTTCATATGCTTGAGGTAGGATGGGCAAAAATTTCCAATATAATCCTAGGCATAAACTAAGTGTTTTTGTTGTTGTTGTTCTTTTAATAGAATCACATAAGATGAGATTTTGGCTCAATTTCTAAAAATAAATTATTATAGTTCTATTATTGGTAAATGTTGATGAAATTACAAGAACTTAACAATATTAATATACTTATAAGAACAGAAATCACTTTTGAGATTTGAAGAAGCAATCCATAAAAAACTGTATATAATAAAAATTGTTTTTTTTTTAATTTAAGACATATGAATAATGATGCAAATCATCCTTTCTCTGGACCCGATTTTGTTCTGTTAACTTAGAAGAAAACTATTGAGGGACCAAATAGTATAGACCAGTGGTTGGCAAACTCATTAGTCAACAGAGCCAAATATCAACAGTACAATGACTGAAATTGCTTTTGAGAGCCAAATTTTTTAAACTTAAACTATATAGGTAGGTACATTGTTATTAACTTAATTAGGGTACTCCTAAGGCTTAGGAAGAGCCACACTCAAGGGAACAAAGAGCTGCATGTGGCTCACAAGCCGCAGTTTGCCGACCACGGGTATAGACTATTTTATAATTTCAAAATTAAATGTAAAAATTTATCTTACAACCAGTTCTTGTTTAAGCTAATTATTGTTACCTGCTTTAATCCAGTACTAACCTTAATTTGCTGTTCACTTTGCATCCGATTTAATATCTGACACTGCAATTCTTGTATTTTGTAGTTGGTTTCAGGCATTTTTTCCCTAATAAACTGTACAATCTCTAGCTGTCTCCAAATGTCATCCAAATAGGAGCCTAAAACGCTTTTGTACACATCTTTTGCATTTGACAAATATCCTGTTAAAACAAAATTGGGTGGGGGGGGGGTGGGGCAGACTTTTTGTTCTTTGAGAAACTCCATGGACAAAAAAGAATTAAAATTTCCTTTCATCCTCTTGGTCTGAAACTCTGCATCATTACCCTTGAATCTTCCTGAGAGGTAGCAAACTGAAAGCTGTGAGAAAAGACGGAATTCTGGTAGGGAGCAGCGCAGGCAGCTAGACCCCCACAGACCTTTCTTCCGCCACTATAGAGAGGGAAGGAAAGAAGAACAACCTATCTTGCTCTTTAATTTCAAGAGGTTTTAGAGGAGTGAAAAAGCCCTCCACTAAAAATGTCTAAGGCAGTTAGGTTACTCATTATGGCTTGGTATGTAGAGCTTACAAAGTTAGTTTTCCAACAAGGATTTTACTTTTATAATATTCTTTAAGTTTTTTTCTTTATTTCAGAGAGGAAGGGAGGGGGAGAGAGAGATAGAAACATCAATGATGAAGAGAACCATTGATTGACTGCCTCCTGTACGCCCCACACTGGAGATCCTGAACTAGGGATCGAGCCCACAGCTTGCACATATACCCTGACCAGGAATGGAACCGTGACCTCCTGGTTCATAAGTCAATGGTTAACCATTGACCCACACCAGCTGGGCTATAATATTCTTCAAGGTAGCCAAATAGTAATGCCAAAGTTTAATTTAATAAATGCATTTCTTTGAGAAGCAAAAACAATTCAAGTATATAGCTCTCAATGGTCTCACCTAATCCTAGGGTAAATTGTAGAGTACCTTCAAGCAATCTTCCATAATCTCTAATCCAAGGTTTTGATTAGTATTGAGCATAGGTGAGTCACAACTCTCTCTATAGCACAGGGAGCTCAGATATGCTAGAATCTGAATATCTGCCTTATTATCATGCTTTAACATCAGCCTGACTGTTAATGGGACTGACAGTCTTTTATGAAGCCAGAAAGACTAATGAAGACAGGTAACTAAATAGAAGGGCATGTGACACTATACTGTTATACTAATTCTACTAGCTTCTATAAATTAGGGCCATAGCTCCCAATCCTTACTTGTCTGAGGACAAAGATAAGACAACCTGATCCAGCATCAACACCCATGTGGTTTAACTGGAAAAGAAAGGAAAAGCACCATGCTAGGTTCTCTAAGAGTAACTATAATTTAGTTCTAATACTTGGCTAGATAATATAATACTTAGCCAAGTATTATAACTCCCAGTGGTTGCAGAGGGAGTATAACTATAACTTACTGCTGCTTAATACTTATCTCTAAAACCTTGGATTAGAGAAATAATATTTGGGTCACAGATAAGAGAAAACATCTGGGTCAGAAATCAGAGAAAATTTATTTTCACTTTATATTTAAAACTAGAGGCCCAGTGTACAAATTCGTGCACCAGTGGGGTCCCTCAGCCTAGCCTGTGGGATTGGGCTGAAACCGGCTCTCTGAAATCCCCCAAGGGGTCCCGGATTGTGAGAGAGCACAGACCAGGCTGAAGGACCCCATGGTGCATGATCAGGGTTGGGGAGGGACACAGGAGGTTGGCCGGAGGGCTCCAGGGCATGTCCAGCTCATCTCTCTCAGTCCTGATCAGCTGGACCCCAGCAGCAAGCTAACCTACTGGTCAGAGCATCTGCCCCCTGATGGTTAGTGCACATCATAGCGAGCAGTTCAGCGGCCTTAGCATATCATTAGCATATTATTCTTTGATTGGTTGAATGGACGACTGGACTCTTAGCATATTAGGCTTTTATTATATAGGATAGGTTCAAAACATTCTAAATTATAAAACATAATCCTATAAGCATAACATTACTAAATAATGCTCAATAATTCTGCAATAAGGGACTTAAAGCAGTAATGTAGTAAGACAGATTCTGATAATTTAGAAAAGATTTTCAGGATCATAAACTTTTCAATACATTTAAATTAGTTTTATTTTTATCACTCAAGTAGTTTATATCCTCATTTACACACACAATTTAAAAATTGCAAAAGGCATTACTGCTAATAACTTAGTCATATTTCATCTAACAAAGATTTAAAGCCACAAACATTTAATAATGGCCTAAAATGTATATGGAAAATATCAGCTTATACTAAAAATTAGTGCATGATAATGATTATACAATCAAATCTGCTAAGGTCATTAGCATTCTGTAATTCAGGCCTAGATGAGGGAATCCTAAATCTATTTTTTTTTAGGCAATGATAGGTGTTACATAGACGTATAAGAAGCTACATAGTTTCTTATAAGGTGCATCTTTTTCAGAAAATTGAAAGTTATTTCAGATGAAATATTTCAATAGGAAGAAAAGGAAAATTAAAAAATTTCCCTACTGACCCAGTGCTGTGTCCAAGCTACATGTTAAAAGGACATCTCGAATTGTGACCAGAAGGTGTAAGAGACCAGCATGCCTAAATGTTGTTTCTCTTTCAGCATTTGTACCTAAGTAAGCAAAAACATATTTAAATGTATTAAAAAACGTAGGATATATATTAAAATTTTAGAATATGTATCGGAATGTTTAACAATAAAAGCGAATATTTATTATTGAGTGCTTACTCTGTGCCAGGCTGTGTATAAGGTGGTTATTTCATTAAATCTATAACAATAACTCTATCAGGCAAGTTTATTATGAATCTTATTTTGTGGATGAGGAAATAGGAGGTTAAGTAACTATCCAAGGTCAATTTGTGAATAAATGGTGGGGCTGACATTTAAACCCAGACAGCTAACCTTAGAGCTCATACTCTTTTTGCTTCCAAAGCACATTCAATTATTTCTACTCTTGGTGGGAAAATAGGTAAATGATTCCCAGTTATGAAACAAGAAGAAAATTAAACTCATAACATGCCAACTAGTTAAAATAAAGGTAGAGGATCAGAACATAAAGCAATACCTACAAATGGAGGTAGACACCTGGAAATATTTGTCTAAAGATATGACTTAAACAAGAGATGTATTCACAGGGACAGGCCAATGGTCTAATCAACGTGTCCACATAGCTCCACAGCTTTTTGAGGGTGATAGCTTGGATTTCACTGTGTACAGAAGTGAGACATTCTGAACCCACTGCCCTAACATAACCAGAGAAGCTCTACTTTTCTGTTTAAATAGTGGAATCCCATGAAATACTTATTTGAACAGAGTTCTGCTAAAACGTTTGAAAAATGCTGATCTAATAAAAAAAAAAAGATGAGGCAAATATGTAGTAGTTATTGGGGATCAAGAAGCAATAGTAGAACCAATTATGGGTAGTATCTTCTGCCCTGGGAAGGACTTGTGGAAACAAGTCACTCATGACCTGGAAGTGATGAGAACAGAACAGAGAAACCAGATTTGATATCATTTTTCTCCTCCCCTTAGGAGAACATTCCTTACAGTGTAAGTCTGCAGCTCATGAATTCTTTCAGCTTTTGTATGGCTGAAAACATCTTTAGTTCACCTTTGTTTTTGTAATATATTTTTGCCCAGTATAGAAAACTAGGTTGATGGTTTTTTCTTCTTCTTCAGCATATATATATATATATTTTAAATTCTCACCCGAGGATATTTTTTCCACTGAGTCTCAGAGAGAGTAGAGGGAGGGAAGAGGAGAGAGAGGGAGAGAGAGTAAGGAAAAGACACACACACAAGAGAGAGTAGAGAGGGAGAAGGAGAGAGAGAGAGAGAGAGAGAGGAAAAGAGACACACACACACACACACACACACACACACACACACACACACACACACACAGAGATGTGAGAGTGACACACCAATTGGGTGCTTTCCACACATGCCTCAATGAGGCCGAGGTTCAAACCTGCAACTGAGGTACATGTCCTTGACCGAGAATCAAACCTGAGACCCTTCAGTCCACGGGATGGAGCTCTAACTATTTAGTCACACCAGCCAGGGCTTCTTCGGTATTTTAAAGATGTTACTCCACTATCTTTTTACTTGCATTATTTCTGACAAGAAAGCTGGTGTCACCCTTACCCTTGTTTCTCTTATGCAACATATCTTTTTTTCCCTCTGGCTGCTACTACAGTTTTCTATTTATTACTGGTTTTGAACAATTACTGGTTTTTCTGTCTCTTACAATGCCTGATAACCTTTGACTGGATGCCAGACATTGTGAATGGACTTTAATCTGTTTTTGTTTTTTACTTTCCCCCTTTTTGGGGGAGGAAACTAGGTGGTTCATATGCTAACATTAATAGGGGTTAATTTAGTTTCTGTAATAGGAACCTATCAAGTAATACAGGGTGGGACAAAAGTTGGCTTACAGTTGTGAGTATGCAAAACACAGAATTTATTTTTGTATTATTACTTATTTTATTATTTTCCATACAAACAGCTGTAAACCTACTTTTTGCCCCACCCTATATAAGTCAATGGAACTTCACTAAGGAGCAATGCCAGATTATATTTCTTACCCTTTCTCCCTTACTTAGCTGATTCTCCAGTTCTGGTGTACGGGTGCTATATGCTGAATTGCAGTTATGCTTTCATCCAAGACTAATTTTTGCATATTCTATATTTTTACTAACTTGATATATAATCCATAAATTGATATCATTTAAAATAATGTGACTTTTATTTGCACTCACCTTGATGAATAGCATCACTTACTACTTTCTCTTGTTCCTTTAAGAGGAATCTTGTTTGGTCAAAAAGAACGGTGGCAAATTTCCAACTAGCAACAGGGCGAGTACAGAGGCACCCGAGTTTTTTTAAGATAGGAGTAGCTGCTGCTTCTAGGAGACAGTACGCGTGGCACTGGCTATCTGTAAACATGAAAGCATTAGAGGAAGTGTTTTTATAAAGATTGTATGCTCTTCTTGACAAACCAATTGAACATGTTACTTCATGGAAACCTGAACTCTATCTAAATTTTACTGAGTTAAAATATCATGATATTGTACATAAGATTGTACAGAGGTTATTTTAAGATAGTTATGCTGAATAAACAAACTAGTAAAAACAAAACACCTTCCCCCATAGAATTACTATAATTTTATGGCTATCTTGTTTATTAGAAAGGATTTATTTAGTAACTTAATCAACTTTGCAACTATGAAGAGCCATATAAAGAGAATTGCAATTTTTTTTCTTTTCCCTCAACTATTAGCTTACAACCTTAAGCCAAACAAATTTGTAACAATGACAAATTGTTTCTAGTTTTCACTAGAATATCAATCTTTAAAGATTTGCATAATCACCTAAAGGTCATAAATAAAATTGAACCAAAGGAATGAAGATATTCAAGAACTAGTAATATACTACTTTCTTATTGACTTTAATACTGAGCATGATGTTCTTACGCAGGCTGTTCTCTTTCTTTGGATTCTAACATTTAAATTATTTTGTACTTCTTCTTTTTTAAAAAAAATTTATCTTTAATTTATTTTTGAAAGTATTACGTATGTCCTCCTCCCCCCTTCCCAATGATGCCCTCTACCCTGCTCCCACCCCCCAAGGAGGCTGTTCTTTAAGAGTCAAAGTATATTCTTCTTTACAGAAGAAGAAAAAGTGTAATCAGAATAGAGTTCAATAATAACTTATTTATAAATATCACCCTGATAAGGGATAAGGGAATACAGAAAGCAACCATTAGCAGATCATTTTTGAGACTGGCATAAGAGTTGGAGCGGTTTGTTCTTTTCTGATGAGTGAAGGGAAGCAGCAATTTAAAAGAAGAAATAACACTTAATGGACTGGGGTAGGGCAAAGGGGAAGGCAGAGGCAGTGAATAGGGCCTTCCAGGTTTGGAAATACCTTGAAAGTAGAAGTGGAAATAAAGAAATATCTGAAACAAGTAAAGTTACATGGAAAATGAGGTATATCCTAGATACCCCAGAAAGGACTTTTAAATTAATTTGAATGTATCTTAAAAGCATAGCATACCTGATGCTTGAATCTCAATGACATTGTCTGCTCCCCTCTCCTGATTTATTTTCTCTACAGTTTTATTAGTATAAACAATAGGACTTTCTTCTTGAAGAGTCAAAGAATGTTCTTCTTTATCTTGAAATTCTGATAAAAATATTAATTTGCATTGTTCAGAAGAAACTTAATGTTGCTTTACTTAAACGTTTTCTTCTATGATGACCGCCATTGTTAAAGTTCTTTGAAACACATCGTATTAAATTGAACTATTTAGCCCCGCCAGTGTGGCTCAGTATTTGAGCATCAACCCATGAACCAGGAAGTGAAGGTTCTATTCCTGGTCAGGGCACACGCCTGGGTTGTGGACTCCATCCCCAGTAGGGGGAGTGCAAGAGTCAGCTGATCAATGATTCTCTCTCATCATTGATGTTTCTATCTCTCGCTCCCTCTCTGAAATCAATACAAATATATTTTAAAAATATAGTATATAGACTAGTAAGACCTAAGTATGCTCTAACTCTTACACATAAATATTTTCGTAGTTATTTCATCTGGGTAACCTATGTCAAACATATTCTAGAAGTAAAATGATATGACACATTATACTATCTTTGATATGGTTATAAGCAGAGTGTAAATCAGTTAACTCAAACAGTTAAAAAGACTAAGTAATTCACCAGGCAAAGTGTTCTTAGTATACATTAAAATATAATTTAAATTTCTTTTTCCTCTAAAAGAAAAAAAAGAATGACAGAATGATAAAAAAAAAAGTTAGAAATATTATGAACCTGTATGGCTAAGTTGTAGAAAGCAAGTTTTACAAATAGTGACTTTGCTTAGAAGTTCAAATGTTACTTAAGACATTTTAAATACATATCTACATCTATATCTATACCCATATCTTTCTGCATGCACAATAGATATCATGAATCAATAACATTTTCTTTGAGTTTGAAAAATAGTATTTTCTACCTGGAAGAGGTTTGTTTCTTTATCTTTTTAAAAAATATGTATTTTTACTGATTTCAGAGAGGAAGGAAGAGGGAGAGATAGAATCATTAATGATGAGAGAAAATCATCAATCAGCTGCCTCCTACACATCCCACACTGGGGATTGAGTCAGCAAACCCGGGCACTTGCTTTGTCCAGGAATCAAACCGTGACCTCCTCGTTCATAGGTCGATACTCAACCACTGAGCAACACCAGCCAGGTGTTTCTTTATCTTCTATACTAAATTATACATTTAGTCCTTGAAGCTATCATATCTATGCCAAAATATTACTAAATTACCCACCATTTTTTTCATCACTATCTGTGACTTCAGTCTTTGAGGTACAAGTTTTATGTTTATTTCTCATCATAATAAAGTCACTCAAAAGTTCCAAATGATTCTCCCGCCTTTTACTACATTTAAAAGATGCTTTTTCAATTTTTGAAGAGGACGCTGATTCAGTAGATAGTTCTGTGTAGTCAAGTTCCAAGCAATCTTTATTTTCATTATTTTGGATTATACTACTAACTAGTTCTTGATCATCCTTTGGTTTTTCCTCTTTTGTTGGACTATGAACAGAGCTATATTCATCAGAAAAACACAGATCTGGTACTTCTGCTGGAGATGGACTTTTTCGTTGAAGTAATAAATTATCACTTGTAGATTCCTCATTCATAAGTACAATAGGTGAGGAACAACTTTTATGGTCTAGCCATGCTGAAAACAGAAAACAAAAATATCCAAATGATTTCCATGCCTAAATGAGTGTTCTACTAGGATAACTTTTAGTTACGGGTTCTTATTAATATAATTTAATCCAGCACTTTGTTTACAGCTTTAAAAATCAATTTTTGATCTGAATAAACTAAAATTATTATAGAATAAAATTCCAGCACATCTTTTTTTTTTCTACTAAAACTAGGTTACTGAGCAAAAAGGAATTCCAGAAAAGCCCGATTGCTAGTAGACTTATAAGTTAGAGCTTTGGAGGTAACAGTTACTCTATGGGTCAAAAACTTACATGCCAAGACCAAATGAAAGTACTTGCACTACATATACCTGAAAAAGAACTGTATCCAAAATATATAAAGAACTCCTATAACTTAATTTTAAAATAAAACCAATTAAGAATTTGACAAAATATTTGAACAATCCTATCTAATAAAAGAGCAACATGGTAATTGGCGTACGGCCGCTACCCTTCCCATTGGCTAATCAGGGCAATGTGCAAATTAACTGCCAGCCAAGATGGCGGCTGGCAGCCAGGCAGCTTGAAACTAACATGAGGCTTGCTTGCTTCAGTGACG